TTACGCATTCTTTTTTTTTTTTTTTAAGTGCTTCCAAAAGGAAAATAAGAAAAGAAAAACTACATTTACTAAAAAAAGTGTGGTGTAAGTTGATCCAGAATAGTTACATTTACGCATATTAACCAAAACATTTCTGATTTTTTATTTTTAAATGAACCCTATTTATAAAATAAGGCTGCATGAAGTCAACCAAGCACAATACCAAGCCTAAACGGTTGATATAACTTTTAAGAGAAGGAGATGAAATTGGACCAGATTGAGAGCAAAACAGCCATTTCACAGTTCAGCTAAAACCCACTAATTAATTTTATTAAGCTTGCACTGTAGGCACAATCAGTCTGTATGATTTAAAGTAGTGTGACAAAGATATTTATAAAATATACACACAGATTCACAGCTATTATGAATAGTCCAAAAGTAGACTTTTGAAAAGCTTATATTGGTTTTCTTATGACTTCAGAAAACAACCAAATCTGCATATATGCCTATTTTCTGACTTAAGTTCAAATAAAGGGAAAGATACATTAAATCCAGCAACTTTTCATAGCATTTTCCTTTTTTACATGAACATGAAGCATGAATCAAATGGCTGGTGAACACGATGTATTTTTTAACAGATATCAGACTGAAGGCCCTTAAAGTACAGACGCAGAATGTATTTTATATTGAAAAAAAAAACTTAGTATCACGACAAGAAACTTTATGCTTCATGCTTTTGACATGATTTTTTTTTTTTCTGAGAAACTGCTAACTTTAAAACTATTCATTAATAGTTCATGAATATTGAAGTTCCAGCTGCTTTTTTTACATCCCAACACAACGTCAACGATCAGGGGGTCTGGGAAAGCTGTCCCAGTATTTAAAAGCCAGAGTTTACCTGGAGGGGACACAGAAATCTGATATTATGTCAGATTCATGCACCAGAGTTCAGAGAATGCCAGCTTATTGCAACTGAAAAGGTTAGCAGGCTGGAAGGAGAATAAAATGTCCTTACTGGAGTGAGCATTTTTTTGTGTATGTGGATGTGCAGTGTGTTTGATGCCATCTTCCTTTATCATTGACCCTGGGACAGGGGCCGCAACCTGAGCTTGCCGTGCTCACATAAGCACCACGCCCTCCAGCCTCTTCATCTTGCATCCTGCTCTGCTCCTCTCGCTCTCTCTCTTACTCCTGTCAGGTCTCGGTGTCTGTTACCTTCAGCTGTCCAGGAAGAGGAAGCCAAGCTTGAAAATACACCCTCCTCTACGAGCACGAAAAAAATCAATTTACAGAAAGATGATTTTCACCGATAACGTTGACATACAATAATCACCCCAAATCTACGACGATCTGACTTATGATATAAGTGCTATCGACACCGTGGCAGCAGAGTGGCATGCTCAGTGGCTGAAATATCAATGGTAATTGTTTCCATGTTGATCTGGATCCGTGTCACTGCCCGAGGTAAAAATAAAACAATCACAGAGAATTGGACTCCATGGCAAAGCAGAAAGGAGGTCATATTTCACTGATGTTTGTGTGATTTGTGATCCGCGGAGTACAACGGAGAGAGGAAATGGCTATGTAGGAGCCAACCGCTGCCTGGTTAATTGAGGCCCTCCTATTACATTGACTGCCGGAGACATGAGGGCAGCGGTGCAGCGCAAACTGCTGCTAATTCAATAAGCCATCATCAGACTGTTAAAAGACTGGCAAAAATAATTGTTAACCTAGTTTATGCTGTGTTTCCTGAAATAGGAATCTGATGGCTGCTTATGTTTATCCAGGGTTTAGATCATTGAGCTGCAGCGAAGCTAATCTGAAACCATTTCTACAGGCTATAAATGAGGAACTGAGAGGAAGGAGAGTAAAAGAACGGAAGGTAGGATGTAAAGAAAGGTCAAAGGAAGAAAGTTACACAATGAAGGAAGAAAACGGGAATGAAGAAGAAAAGGATGTCACAAAGGAGGACAAAATGGAAAGAAAGGAAGTTCTCAATGGAATAAAGATGAGGGTAAAAAAGAAAGCATGAAGGAGAAAAAGAAGAGACAGAAAAAAAGGGTCTATAGAGGGAGAAAATGATGGAGCCAAAGAGGAAATAAAGAATGCATAACTAGAAACTAAGAAGGAAGGAAAAGGAAAGGAATAAACAAAGGAAGGTAGGACAACATTTATGGGTATTAAAAACTTGAAATATTAATCTTTTTTATATTATATATGTATTTTTTCCTATTTTAAGATTTTCCAAATTTGACAGGACTCTGAGAGAACTCCATAAACGCCCTCTAGTCTTTGATGTCATTCAAATGTTGCGCACACCGTCACAAACATAGGGTGACAATAAGCTCGCCCACTCCTTCTTAGACGGTTTGCCTTCAACCAACCTTGGAGTCACGGGAGTCAGCATTTTTGAGTGCCTCTGAGGTGTCGTGCTGAATAATGTGTCCTATGAATAAAACACATTAGCTACAAAACATGTTGAATTATTCACATTTCAAAGCCTGCATCCCTCCTCCCTGCACACGAGATATTAGTTCTTCAGTCAACCTATGCTTTCCACAGAGTCCTTAGAGCCTCTGTCTCCCTATTGTGTGCTCCGTCTGGCTTCTCTGATCATTCTTTTGCTGTTTTTTTTGTCATCTGTGTTTTGTTAATCCCTCTTTGTTCCTCTATCTTCCCTCTCAGCTGAATTTGTGCTGATGGTGGCGATCTATTTATACGCCTCAAGTTACTACTTTTTCCTGAAACATCTCACTGTTTATCTAAAAGGGCTCTCCAAGCTGTTGAGTAGCGCATTTGTTCAGATGGAATCTATGATGACTCGGTGACACGCTGTGGCCCAAAACAGATTCATCATTTAGGATTAATCTAAAGCGACCAGCTGTGAATCTCAAGAAGAAAAGTACCCAGAAGAAGGCGGTTAGCTAATTAAATACTTGACCTGATATGATTGTCTTTGATTAGTTCAAGAGTCCAATTATTTCTTCAGTGTTTAAAAAGAAAACTGCACAATAAACAATCAAAAGCAATAGGTAGAGAATGTAACTTTAAACTCACATCTTATCTTTGTGTAGATATTGCTATTACATTAAATGAGAAAATCCCAATTTTAATCCTAGTTCTCACACTCTAAGGATTTTTTATATGATCTGGTTTAAGCCCTAAACCCAAATCCTGATACCCTAATTTTGTGTATAATCTGTGAATTTACTGTCAGCTGCATCCTGTAAGTCATCTTGACCTTTTTTCACAGACAATCTATTCAAAATCACACCCCATTATGTGTTGATTACAAAACACTTTTATAGGTCAAGTAGATTATTTTGTTTTTCAAATGTAATTCCAAAACAATCTAAATGTTGTTCACCTTTTATAAGAGAGATTCTGTTGTCTGTTGTTGCACCTCATCTGAAGAAGAGCTACTAAAACACTATTTAATAAATTATACGTTCAAAGTAACATGCCAGGTTTGTATTTTTATCTGCACATGAATTATCCAGACTGCTCTGAAATAGGATCAAATTAAAATCCCGCTAGCATTAACATAGTATGAAGCAAACAGCTCCATAAGATTATATTGTCTGTGGGGCCAAAACCGTTTAATGAATCTCATATAACGCATAACGCATTGAAGTGCAATTAAATATCCAACTGGGATCAATATCATGTAATATACATTCGCCAAACAGAAGTCCTTCAGGTCAAGTTTGGACCAACATCGCAAATTATCCCTAGCCTGGGTGCCATTCCGAACTTAGTCCCGCCCACAAGGTTTGAGGTTGGGAAGTTCTGTCTGGCATTGCTCCATAGTAGCGCGAGTATGATCGCCCACTCTCTGGCGATCCAATCAAATTGTCAGGGCGG